CAGCCACTTTGCTTTCTTGCATTTCCTTTTCTTTGGGATGGTTTTTGTTGCTGCCTCCTGTACAATGTTACGATCCTCTATCCAAAGTTCTTCAGGCACTCTGTCTACCAAATCAAGTTCCTTAAATCTGTTCTTCACTCCCACTGTGTATTCATAAGGGATTTGGTTTAGATTATACCTGACTAGCCCAGTGGTTTTTCCTACTTTCTTCAGTTTGAGCTTGAATTTTGCTATATGTTGATGATCAGAGCCACAATCAGCTCCAAGTCTTGTTTTTGCTGACTGTATAGAGCTTCTACATCTTTGGCTGCAGGGAATATAATCAATCTGATTTTCAGTATTGCCCATCTGGTGATGTCCATGTGTAGAGCTGTCTCTTGTGTTGTTGGAAAAGACTGCTTGTGATGACCAGCTTGTTCTCTTGACAAAACTCTTATTAGCCTTTGCCCTGCTTTGTTTTGAACTCCAAGGCCAAACTTACCTGTTGCTCCTTTTATCTCTTGACTCCCTACTTTAGCATTCCAGTCCCCTATGATGAGAAGAATCTTTCTTTGATGTCAGTTCTAGAAGGTATTGTAAGTCTTCATAGAATTGGTCAATTTCAGCCTCTTCAGCATTGGTGGTTGGCGCATAAATTTGGATTACTGTGAGGCTGAAAGGTTTGCCTTGGGTTTGTATTGAAATCATTCTATCATTTTTGAGATTATATCCAAGTACAGCTTTCCCCACTCTTTTGTTGACTATGAGGGCTACTCCATTTCTTCTACAGGATTCTTGCCCACAATAGTAGATATGGTAATCATCTGAATTGAACTCTGAGAAATACCCCCCATGCCAGAAAAAACACAGAAACACATTAAAAACGGCATGGTCTCTGCCTCCCTCCATTGGCCAGTTCCAGTAAATACACCCTAGAAATATGTATAAATATAAATATATATTTCTAATTTTTTAAAATTTAGTATTTTCAGGCAGCGGATAAGTGAATCAGTGGATAGTGATCCTGCAGATAGGTGGTCCTACTGTAGTCTGGGTGGATGCAGATGAAGGGTGAAAGGATATCAGCAGGTGCGGCTTCTGGGGAGAGGTCATCCATGGATACTGTGCCTTAACAGTGACAACACCCAACTGCTTGTCAGACATCAAACCAGCATGGATTACCTGTATTTCTTGGTGCTATATCACCTGACCGTTATCTTTTTTTCTGCATTATGATATTTTGGCAAGTGCTTGGAACAAGGATCACACTGTGGTAGTGCCATCTACTATGGAACAATCTACTTTGGCTGCTTGTCCACGGTATCAGTGACTATCAATTTAGGCAGTATTTTTCAAAAAGTTTACTATTCAAGGTTTAGAGCCTTTGCCCAAACAATCTTTGTTGAAATTTCTGTTTCATTATATTTTGTTTTACCATACTGTTTTTATACTTTTATTTGCAGTTTTAATACTCCATGTTTATTCTATGATGTATCCAAAGTACAGTAACTGTGAAGTTTCAAAGAAAAATAAAACTAATTATAGGAAAACAGAGGAATTAGTGGCTGAGATCACTCAACAATGAAACAGTATGTCGAAACTGCAACACAGCCTAAATCTAGCTGCTAGTTCCTATCACTGTAGAGCCATTGAATCAACGGGACTTAGTTAAATGTTGCTATTCTATTTGGTACTTGATTCAATGGGGCTACTTTAGATGGGACAATAATTGGAATTGAGCCAGTATGATATAGGGATAGAAGAGTACTCAGTTAACCTGGGTTCAAATGCCCACTCAGCCATGGGAACTCACTGGGGGAGAGGAGTAGAACTGGTAAACCCACTCCTTAAATATCTCACTTACCTTGAAAACTCATTAGGGTCACTGTAAATTGTGTATGACTTGATGACACTTCAAATAAATGGTATTAGGACCAAAGGTTTTTGCAAAGTGAATCATATAGTATTTTAAGACATTTGCATACAAATGTCTTAAATTACTCTATGCCTCTACCTTGCATGCTTGTGCAGGTAGAGGCATAGAGCTATGCAGAATACTGAACTCCCAAGCTCAGATAAAAAAATCCTCCCCATTTGCCCTCTGACTCCAGAGAATGGCGAAGAGCCAATGCTGCATTTCTGAGACATTGTTTCCCTCCCTCTCCAGGTGTCGTGCTTTATGGTGCGAAAACAAAAAACCACACACACACACAGATCCAGAGTTCCTGCTGGTTTAGCCACAAGCAGCGGCTCTTGCAAAGATGCGTCGTCTTGCTGCATCACTCTTGTTTGTTCCTGCATCGTCTTCTGCAAAAAATCAGACTGATCTTCAGCTTTAGGGCCTTCGCCCTGCAACCCCTCCTTGATTGTCTCCTATCGTGTGCGATCCAACCCAGTCCCTCCCTAACAACATCTCTCTGGAGAGTCCAGGCACAACACCAATGTTCATCCTCCTTTCCTACTTTTACGTTAGCCCAGGTGGTTTGGTAGTTTTTAATGTCCCCATGAACGCACCAAACTACCAACCCCTCATCCTTTTTGTCTCCTTGCAAGTCCCGCACAAGAGTCTTCCCGCACCCTGTGTCTATTAAGGCTTTCTTTCTCTCCCCGTTCACCCATGCCTCAACTTCCCAAAGCTCTGAAGATGCCATCTTCACAACAGGGGGGTTCACCTGTTGCCCCACCCATGAATAATCGGTCCCTGGGCATTTTTTTCTTACGTGTCCGGAAACCCCACATCCGAAACAAATGGGGCGCCCATCTTTGCCTTCGCGCCACCCCGTTCCAGGTGCGTAGATCCTCTGATCCACCGTTATAGGTCTCACTGGTTTGGGCCCAAAAGGCTCAAACCCTTTACCACGTTGCTTCGCTGGTCCACTCATGTCTGCGCCGTGTTTTGTGGTTCAATTCAAACTCGAAAGCAAAGCCTCACTGCGTGGTTTTCCTCGCTCTAACCAAGGGGAGGTCCCTTCCTTAATTGCCTCTTCCATATTGCTGTAGTCTTCCAATAGGGAGATAGCTTTTTCCAGCGTCTTCGGGTTGTTCTTTTGAATCCAACTTTTCACGCCGGTCCCCAACAACTGTACCAACTGTTCTAAGACGACTGTATCCACAATCTGCTCCCCACTCTTCTCTGCAGGTTTCAACCACCTCATCGCATTGGCCCGTATTCGTTGGGCTATCGTGTGAGGGTGTGTGCCCAGTTTCCACTTAAGTTCCCTGAGCCTTTTCCGATATGTCTCCTCTGTCAGGTTCAAAGTACGGAGTATGGCGATTTTTACGGTCTCATATTGGGTGGCCTCCTGCATGCTAAGCGTGTCCACTACCTCTTGTAATAGACCCGTGAGGCATGGGATGAGTATGAGGGTCCACTGTTCTTTTGGCCATCCTTCCGCCAGTGCTACCCTCTCAAACGTGTGTAGGTAAGCCTCTGGGTCATCTGTATTCATCATTTTCTGCATTCTAATGGGTGCAGGGTCCGCCACCAGTCCTCCGCGAATGCTTATCGCATTCCTTGGGCTTCTTTCCCCCTCACTTTCTTAAGTTCTCATTTGCCTCGCAATCATGGTTTGCTGTTCTGTAAGGTTTTCAATTAGCTTCGCTTGTCCCTCCATTGCCTGCCTCAGCTTATATAACTCTCCTTTACCCGCCTCCTGCACCGCCCCAGCCCCACGTTGGGCGCCACTGTAATGATGTTCATTTTCAGCCGGGGGTGTGCTTGTTGTAAAGGTGGGAAAAAGGATCGGAGGCTGCTCTGAATATTCAACATTAACTTCTTTATTTGTAACAGCGTTAAGCTCAACAGAGTCAAACGTGTCTAACAAACTAATCTCCGGTAAAACCTTCTATTTCTTAATTCTAACATCAGGGGGTCGTCCCATTTCTCTTAGAAGGGGGCTGGACCAAAACACTCCCTGTCTGTCAGAGGCCTCAGGGGGGCACTCCGCACCACGCAGACCGTCCCACAACATGGGTGTCGCGCCCAGTCCCCCTCTGGTGGACCAGGTCAGATCACTCTCCTCCCTCCAGGATGGTTTCGGGGGTAGACGACCACTGTCCATTCCAACGGGTTGAACCTGTGTCCCCTCGTACCGGCTAGAGATGGATCAGGTAATAATCCTCCTCCTAATTGTAAGTTAGGAAAGTCCTTCAGAATTCCAGACGCCTCTTCATAGTCCCGCATATGTTGTTTGTACCCCGCGACTTATGGTTCTTCCCAACTCCCCATACGTTGTCAGACTGAATACACATGCGTTTTCCTCCCCTTATATATCCTCCCACAATATCAAATCCAACTCCTCCCCTCCTTCATCTACCAAACACACTTCTGCTGGTTTCTGGGGTACCACTTCCTCCTGATCTATTTCTATCAGTATTCCTTCTGCGCATGCGCTTTCAGTCACTGTGTTCTGTGACTTGGAGGACGGCACACTGCTCTTCTTGCCTTCACACCTGCCTAAGCTTTATCTCATTTGGGTTAGGGAGATTCTCTGAGCTTGGGCAAATGAGCTGAAGTGTTTCATGGCTTTGTTGCTTCTAAGAAGTTAATTGTGTGGGATCTGCATGGCTTCAGAGAGCCTTAAAAAGCATCTGGAGAACTGATAACCATGTTTGCAAATATCTTCCTCTTCCCAAGATAAAAAGTGGGCAAAAGTTTCAAAAATGTAGTCAAAAGCAGTCTCAAAAATTAAACAAAAAACAAAAAATGTTTCAGCAATAACAAACATAAAGCTAAAAATGAATATTTTAGCTTACTGCACAATTTAAACCAGGGACTTGCGCCTTATTTCCCTGATCTATGCCCCAAATGAATAGTGCTTAAATATCCATGAAGTAAAAAGTGCTCACTGCTTTTCACTTCTACACAAAGGCATTGTTCCACACTGAAACATTAATCCTATGACTCTCAAAACCAGGTTCAAATCTCTGCTCAGCCATGGGAACTACAGGGACAATATATATAAGTCAGCATATAATATAAACATTGTGATATTTACAGTAATAAAAAGTAGAAGACACCATTTAATAAAGTTTTTTTTAATAACTTTCTTAGTCAAAAGTGTAACTTTGAAAATCTCTAGCTATTTGTGAAAATCTGAAAAAGATGGGTGCAACTTCACTTTGAACAACACAGTTTAAAGCTGTAAGCGGCTGATCTGCTTCCCATCTCTCCTTCACCCAATAATACAGTGCCATTTCAAAAACAAAACAAAACAAAAAACAAAAGCCTTTTCAAAAACTAAATGAGATGTGCCAAATTCACACACTTTGATTTCAAGGAGATGGAATGGGGTTGGGATGAAGTTTCTTATACAGCAAACTAAACCACAAAATAAACCAAATTTCTTGGAAACCACTGTAATTATAATATAATTTGTATTAATTTCAGCATCTGAACTCTAAGGAAAATAAGGTTGCCACCTTACCCACCAGGCTCAGTCACTAATGTTTTAATGTTTCTATCCGCTCTATGTGCTGTTCTGTTTTCTGCTTATAATCATATAGGCAATCAGTGCTGCCACCTCCGCAGGCAGGATGCACAAGGAACAGGGTTTCACAATTAAAAGTCAGAGGAAACAGAACAGAAAGAAAGCAGATAAACCTGAACTCTTCCCTAGGAAGTAAACCTGTTTTCCCAACCAAGGGCTGCACAATTCTCCAGAAGTAACTTTCTCCATTTTTTCCTTCCCCACCCCTCTATCCTCCAAAAGCACAATAGCAATTTTAAGAGAAAAGGGGTACTAAATCTTTAAATAACTTAAAAACCTTTTTTTTAATTATAAAGCAGCAAAAAACATTTTCATCTGCAGAAAGAAATGTTAGGGAACACACAAATGTAAATCACTGTTTAAAGAAGAAGAAAAGAACACCTGCTAGTTTTCAATTTCACAATAAAGTCAAAACTATTTTAGAGCTATTCTTTAACCTCATCAGTACTGTCTGAAGAAGACTCTTTGGCATCTTCAGTCTCTCTGTTGTTTTCCTCTTGGTTTACGTTTTTGCTTTCCAACTTGGTCCCATTAAGCAAAGAATTGTCACCATTCACAAACCCATTTGCTGCCACTTCTGTACCAATAGTTTCCTCAATCTTTAAGTCCTCTTGCTCCTCTGGTTCTTCCTCCAAATTTCTCAAGACAATTGGAAGTCTGGAATCTGCCACAGTATTCTCTAGTAAGGCAATATTACTCTCTTCATATTTGGGGAGGAGGGCTCCTTCTGCCATCTGTTTGCTGTAGTATTCTCTGTGGGCAGCAGCACTCTGTATGGCTTTCTCCAATATTTCTTTCTCCCCCAAACGCAATTTAATAGCCATTGTTGCATTACAGGTAAGGTCATGTGTTTCCAAAAAGGATTTGTCCTCCTAGAAAGACAAAGGAGAGGGAAGGAGAAGCAAACAATGCAGTCTTCAAAATTTAGACTTGACTTTTAACCACAAAGCTGCATTTCTGTGAAGGGGAAGGACAGGTCTATACATTGTTGTGATTCATTATTACAGTGCCATCACTGCACATGGTACTTTGCAGCATGAAAGAGGGAAACATGGCCATGCTTCAAGGTGCCTCAAGAGTCTAACAACTGGAAAATACCAAAGTAAAAGTGACAAATGTGAACTAATGCAGTTATGTGTAACTTTTGATATTGCAGCTGGGAATGAACAGTGCAGACAGAGCCATGTACTTCACCAAAGAAGCATATTCAAAGGTGAAAAATGAAGGACTTAAGGTAGCATCAGATAAAGTGTTTCAGACATAAAGAACAGCTAGGGAAAGCAGGCCATGTAATTTAGGTCAGCTGAGTATATTTATCATAAGTGTATCTTAGAATGTTTGGTGGGGGGTGTCAATGGGGATCTAACAGAGCAGGTATCTGAAATTCAAGGAAAGCTTCTAAGAACATGCAAGAGTTTTACATGTTCACAAAGGAGCTTCAGAGGAGCTGTGAACAATGCCTTTAAAAGCTTTGTCTATAAAGCAGATGTAAATTTTAAGCAATCGTTTCCTACTCCAATTACACACCAAAGACTAACCCTAAGTGTTAGCAGCAACTAGCATACACCCACTGAATCAATTAGACTCTACTAAATCAACACTCAGATAAGCTCTATGATTCAATGTGTCTGCTCTATACTTTGAACTAACAATATAGCTGTCATGGTCCTGATCCTCCTTCTCCAATGATATGGCAGTGGGGAAATGATCCTTTCCCCCCCTCAGGTGGTGCTCCCACTGTCAACTCAGACACATTTCTCCAGGGTTTCAGAAAAAACTTACAGCAGCACAACCAAAAATGACTGCACTTTTAAACATCTCTTAGACAAAGCAGATGAAAGATGGCATCTCAGGAATGGAACACTCTGGAAAGAGTAAACTTCTTACCAGTGTGTGTGAGATTAGACCAGGTAAACTGGGATGTTTATGAGTATCTTAAATTGCATGTTCTAAGAAGTCTTACTGAAACAGTCGTCTTGTAGGTTTTCAGCAGAAGGGATGCTCTGGCTTCAAGGAATGTCCAAAGTTTCACCTCATTGTCCCAGCTCACAGGAAATTCAGAATTGCCAAGAGTAAAGATTCTATCAATTGCATGCTCTCCTATCAAGTGCTCCTTCAGTTCATCTGCAAGGAGGAGGAAATGCAGTCAGTAATTGCTCCACTTTTTATACACTGATAAAGATTAAAAATATGGACCAATAATAAAGGGACCTTTCAGAGCTGTTTCCCAAAGCCTCGTGTTGTTTAGAGCTGAAGTTTCAAACAATATTGGCATAAACTTTGGGGGTCAACTGAATATGGCATTGACTCTTACAATGAAACATTCCCTTTCCCCCCTTTTGTAGTCCTCTGTACAACCTAAACATTGGCTCCAGAATGTTTCCCTGCAATCCAGAGTCTGGGAAAACTGCAGCTGATGGGGAGGGATGCTTCTCTCCCACTCTACTAGACTCTACTATTCCAACAACAGAAATTCTCCACTGGATTCTCTCTTTTGGTCTTCACTATTTATTTATTTATTTATTTATTTATTTATTTAATATCCCACCTATCTGGTCGGATGAGGACCACTCTAGGCGACTACAACCAATTATTCTGGCCACTAATAAGGTAAAAATCATGATCTTATATCAATTTTTTGCTTAGAAGTAGACTTCTTCTGGAAGAAGGATCAGTCCTTCACTGGAAGGACAGATCCTGAAGCTGAGGATCCAATAATCTGGCCATCTCATTAGAAGAGAAGACTCCCTGGAAAAGACCCTGATGTTGGGAAAGTGTGAAGGCAAGAGGAGAAGGGGATGACAGGGGACGAGATGGTTGGACAGTGTCACTGAAGCTACCAAGATGAATTTGACCCAACTCTGGGAGACAGTGGAAGACAGGAGGGCCTGGCATGCTCTGGTCCATGGGGTCACGAAGAGTCGGACACAACTTAACAAATAAACAACAAAGAACAAGACTTCTTCGATTTCAAGAAAACTTGCTCATGTTAATTTTCCAAAAGTCTGCAGCATGGTTTCAGACCTAATAGGAAGGTGAACACCTTCTTTCCTTTTCTTTACTATTTCTCACCCCTCCGCCGGTATAGCATCCCCATGTCTTTGGTGGTGGTGGTGGGGAATCATGCACAGCTTCTGAACAGCCATTCACCTAATCACTTCTAGCAAACAGAACTAGCCTCTGAGCAAACAGAGAGCAAAGCACTGCAAAACTGGAAGGCAGCCATTCTCATACCTTTGCAGCCTCAATAATGTTCAGATGAGTGCTACATATGGCACAGCAATGTAGAATATCTGTTTGGTGGGCCAATAACTTTTCGAAGTTGTTTGCAAGAATGATTCTTTCTGAATACCACTTCATGATTTTGAAGTTTGCACAAAGACAAAAATCAGATATAAAGCCTATAATATATTTTTTACCTTCAGTCATACAAAACACTCTAAGGAAAGCCAGAAGCTGGGCAGAGATTGGAGGTTCTGTTGTGTGTAAGGCAAAAACACTGGACCTAACAAAAAAAGGGAATAAGAAGTCAGTCTATGGTAGTTTAATTGTTTAACATGGAAACCATTAATTTTTTAATATGATGCCAAGGAGATATAAGGGCCAGTCTAATTTCTGAATATCAAACTGAGGCTGAGGAAATGTTACTATCACTATACTATATGCAATAAAATCTGTGCATGGTTTCAGTTGTCACCCTGTAAAACTTCTACAAATTTCATTTTCAAGCTTTAAACTGTGAGCAGTGTTTTTGTTTTTATACATTGACCAGAAGTAATTATTGAAACATTCATTAGAAGAAAGCCTATTAAATTTAGTAAGATGGCTGACAATGGGGGAGGCGGGAATCAGGAACAGTTGCAGATAGAGATGGGCGCAAATTGGTTTATTCCAGTTGATAATCCAGCTAATCTCCCAGTCACAAGCAAGAGCAAAGATTTCTATGCCCCACCCTTTTGTCGGAGTGGGAGATCAGCTAAGAGGATGAGGCAGAGAAGCCTGAACTGTTGTTGGGACTGGAGGTGCAAGAAGCACAGTGGGCCGAGTGAATGACTGAGTCAGTGGCGGAGGGGAGCAGAAGCACCTGTGCTCCCTTTATGAACTGGGATGAATTGGGACAAACTGGTTTGTGCCCATCTCTAGCTGCAAGGAAAGAAAGCCAGTTATTGCATACCATACAACAGTATGATTCAAACAATCATAGTTCAAACTAAAACAATAATTTAATTATTATAATTCAATTAAAAAAATTAAGAATGCTGAAATCACTACAGGTCCCAAACAGACCATGACAGCATGTTTATAATGAAGGGAAACACATAGTAAAAACAGCAAAGTGACCCAATTCCTGTGCCCTGAACATAATTAAATTATTCTTACGATGTTGGTAATCATGCTTTATACCAGATAAGCATGCTTGGTAACAGCTATTCAAGATAAATATGGAGGGTGGAGATTATAGATTCTTCCTTCATTAGTGGACAATTGTTATGCTATAACCATCTAGAACTCAAAATAATTTTAAGATAAAACAGCCTTTAATAGTCCGACTTACGTTGGGATGCCAGCGCGAGCTAAGACCTCTGCCTTCATAGCATACAGCCTGTCACTTTTACTCACTCCAAGCTTTATTTTCACTCTGTCATGTGAATTATTATCAAAGAAAAAACCACTGTGGATCACAAATTCAGCATTTGACCGAGTGCCATAAAAAATGTAAATCTAGGAGGATGAAAAGAGAAGTGAAAGGACAGAAAAATAGCTTAGGATCAAGTTTCAGAATGAAAACTGCATATAAGACAAACCAACCAATCCTCCACTCTGGTTCAATATTCTAAATGTTGTGAACATCCTATTTTAAAATGATATAGAAAATTTGGCTTCAACAAATCTCTCTTGCTCAGACATTTGATACTGACCAAAGTCTCATCCATTTCTGTTTGGACGTTGTACTTTTAGACCTTATTCTGTTTGTGTTTAATGTCCCTCTGTTGGATGTTTCAGAACTACTGCACATGCAGTATCATAATTCAAAAAAAGGGAGATATTTTTCCCACTACCGGAGTACCATAACCTGATTGGAAAGTTCCTACAAATGGCTTTATCCAAATAGCAAACCCCTGCTGTGATCAACTGTGAACATGAGAGAACATCTTAGCCTGACTAATAACTCCTGTTGAGATTTTCCTTCCACCTGCATCTCCTAAGGAGAGAGTGATGTAAAGATCTTGAGGTTTCAGGTGTGTGACTTTATATTAACAACATGGAGTTGTACTATTTTTTCTCTCTCAAGTCATCAGGAATGACATCATTTTAATATTTCCAGGTGGGAGAGCGTCCAAATTCCTTTTCAGATACACATATTCATACAAGAGACTATAAAGTAACATGTGTTGAGTAGAATAAACAGAAATCCAGTGATGGCTAGTGGGACAGAGATGAGGGGAACAGACAAACTGGAATTAAATAATGTTTTGAAGAATAGCAAAAACAATTTGAGGGCCTAGAATGCAAAGTTTCAGGAGGTAGGTGGGAAAAGACTTCCTAAAAGCTAAAACGAACTGTAGTATCCAGAAGTGAAGGCACTGTGTTCTTGAGGGAGTATTCTTATATGTTCCCTTCTCGTGGACTGAAAAAGGAAAATAAGACCCTTGTTGTCATGTCTCACTAGGGTTAGAGTGTCAAAGTGAAGTGTAGATCAATCTCTAGGGAACTAACCAAATTGAGAAATGAATGAAGTAGGGCCCAGAGCAGGTGATACCTGTACTCTCAAACAGCCAAACAGTGAAGAAAAACCTACATCCTGCCCTGTTTAGCATTCCATGCACAAATCACTAGTCCTAGCTTTTCAAACATTAGCACTACTAGGTATCTCAATTTCCAGATGCTTAAGAAGGTGGCATATGTTGTTTTAAATTTGTTTTGAACTTGTTTTTTCAACAAGGCTTGCAAGCTGCTTTGAGTGCTGTTCATTAGCAGAAAGGTAGGATAAGGGATAGAACAAATAAGGGAATAGTTTCTTTTTGCCAGTTAGGTAAATTAATCTATTCTCTTATGTGCTCTTATTGTTTTAGTGGGAAACTGAACTGGTTTACATGTAATGTTCAAGTCATGCCTTGAAACTGCTTATATAAACAAGAATGAGCCTGACTGAAGCCTCATGCCGGCATACTCTGCAATGCCTTCTCCCACTGTTATATGACAAGTGAAGACCTTTGGCAGAGTTTAGTTCTATGTTACATGAACTGTGGCTTGTGAACACATGAACCATAGATCATGATTTTTTTGGGGGGGGGCTCTTTTGTTTCACAAACAAGTTCGCTTTAAACCATGATCACTAGTTCACATGTACAATAAGATATTTTTCACAGTCTGCTAACGGCCTTCTGGCTGCAAGGGCAGAGGGAGAGTACAAGAGGCCAGTACTTTGCTTGAGCTTACTACAAAATACTGAACAATATTTTTCCATTTTGCATGAACCTATACATTGTAAACCTATCTGAATTACCCATTTTACACTCATTTAACAAGTGGTGTATCAATAACACAACAAATCACCACAGCTGGGAAGTCCAGATAGCAATGGTCAACATGTAATACTGAACACGTTTCTCAAAGGATATTATAGCTTGGTGCTGAAGGCAGAGATTGGGAGCTGCTAAAAGGAGCCATACATGCCTTGGAGAATAGATGCCAAGAGTGGAATTAGTTTGTGACATTACCTTTTATTTTCTGGACAGAAAAGTGGTAAGGAGCCAGGAAGTAACTGAACAAGAGCTAAATAATGTCAAACAGCAAGGTGCTGAATAAACAATGGTTGTCCAATTCATGGGGTTCAGGTGACACCTTTTAAGCAATATCATCTAAGATGCATGTATCTTTCTACTGATTCAATATCATTCAAAGGCTGGTTGCTTTAGATAGAGATATTGCTTTTTTTCTTTCATAAACAAATTTACTCATGTTTATTACTTTTAAAATGCTATACCTCTTGTTTCCAAAACATATTCGTAAGTGAGGGCTCATAGGACCATTTTTGTTGCATGCCAGCAAAATTCATGAAGCTAAATCAAAATTGTTCATATTTATTACATAGCCAATCTACTGTATTTAAGAAATCTTGGTTCTTCAATAAACCTACACATGCAGTTCTTCTACCAGCATAACTTTAACATTAAATCACACAAAAATATTCTTAGCATTACCTGTTCATCAGCCTTAAAATCTTGAAGTGCTACACACTCACAACGGTCATCTTCTAAGTTGTAACCTGTAGTAATCTAGTCAAAAGAAGGTGCAAAGAAAATATTAAATTCTTAACATCTAGAGATTTTTATTTTCTTCAGTCTCTTTTGCTTTGGAAGAATGTAGCGTGAATACCACTTAATTATTTTTAAAGAAACAGAAACAGCTTTTACTTTCATGTACACATCAATCTCAGACAAAAGTATAATAAAGCCTCCTTGGTTTGTATCAACCAAAAAAAGAAAACTGAGTCCTTCCACAATGTACAGTGGTGCCTCGCTTGACGAGGGTAATTCGTTCCGTTCAAATTGCTGTTAAGCGAAATCCTCGTCAAGCGAAATGAAAAAGCCCATTGAAATGCATTGAAAACCGGTTCAATGCGTTCCAATCGGCGAAATACCTCAGCGTCCAGCCAAGATCCTCCATTTTCTGGTGCCTGTAATGCGAGGAATCCATCCTAAAGCACAGCGGGGAGCCATTTTGCACAGCGGGCAGCCATTTTGAAACCCAACAATCAGCTGTTTTTGATCGTTAAGCGAAAAATCAGTTCCCGAAGCACGGAACCGATCAACGCTAAGTGAAAAAAGCCTATTCAGACATCCTTTAGCGATCGTAAAAAACTAATCGTCAAGCGATTTCCTCATCTAACGAGGTAATCGTCAAGCGAGGCACCACTGTATTACCAGATACAGACAGGAGTTGCAGACAGCTAAGAAATGCTTCCCTGTGTATACATTCTTCTCTTGCCTTTGCTGGTATGGAACAAGGAAGGTCTGCTTGGTCTGTTTCCCTCAATGGCCATCTTTGTCCTAAGTAAATGGATACATCAGTCTAATTCCACAGCTTGCTGGGATCAACTGACAAGGATGTCCATCTAGTAGTTCAGGAAAAATCAGGTCTAGCAGAATATAAGCCATGTGCAGGATACTTGGTACAGGAAAGGGAAAAATATGCTGGGAAGTATCCTTCCGCTGGCAGAGGCCAGCCTGATTATCAGGGACAGAACTACCACTAAAAAAACCCAAAAAACACGAGGCTCCTATTTTTGTTTTTGTGTTTTTCAATTTCTGAAAGAGTGTTTTAAAACATGAAAGACTCATATTAACAAATAAGGGGTACACAAAAATTTTGTGGGTTTTTTTGTGCGTTTCCCTCTTTAGGTAAACTTTTCTTTTACCCTTGTTTGTCAAATTACTTCGGAAATCTTTCATCCACGAGCTGTCAGTAGCCAATCAGAATGTCCAGGAAGAAGGAGCGGAAATTTTGAAGCTGTAGAAGGGCCTGAGTTGTTTGGACTTTGGAGAGGAATACTCCCCCCCCCACCCCCAGGTTTTTCTGGTAAGGCTGTCTGCCACTGAGCAAAACCTTCTAGTGCCTTTCATCTTCTGTTGCCCAGATCAGCCTGCGAACCTGTGCCTTCATCTTGAATCCTTTTTTTCCCCTGGATTTTTTACAGGACCCTGGTTTTTTGGAACATTTTTGCAGTCTGCGCCAGTGTGGCTCTAAAATTTTTAAAATCCCACCACCAGTTTCTTTGGAGGCTTTTTCTCCTTCTCTCTCCTCCTTTCCTTTTTTCGATCATATACTTTGGATCATATTTTTGGACCCATAAAACAGAAAAGATGGCATCTCATAATATACTAGTTGTTTTGGTTTAGGAATGGACATTAGTTGCATTTTTTGCCTTTATCTGCTTACTTGCTTTTCTTCAGTTTTGGGAGATGGAGCTATGGGTTGTTCTTGTTTTTTGTTTTGCTTTTTGCTGTTTGACCGCTGTGTGTGGAAAGGGTCCTTTCCTTCTTTTATTGATTTTTAAAATCTTTTTTGTTTAATTTATTGTGCCAAAACCAAGGTGGCATTGGGTTGCGTGGGAGCCCCCCACAGGTCTGATGACTTCTGCCCCCTTACATACTGTTGCCCATTTTTGAAACACATATAAATGGATTCCCTGTTTTCTACATTGACCCCGTCTTTTTTGAATAGTTTATAAGAGTTAAATTAGGATTTTTTCATTGCCAGTGCCAGAAACAAAAGCAGAGGAAAACTAGATGAAAGCTAATATACCACTAGGCTGTGTGGGTACCACCATAAATTTGAAAATGATTTTTCCTCACTCATGTGCTATTGTCATTTTTGGAATTATACATTGATTCTTTGTTGCCTGCCTTGCCCCTGCTTTTTTTTGAGTAGTTTTAAAGAGCTTTTATACTACTAGTACCAGAAAACATGAATGAGGAAAAATAAGATGCAATACCCCCAAAGAGGCCATCCCTTTCAGCTCCACCTTTTCAGAACACTTCTTGCTAATCTTAACCCGACTAAAACACAGTACTGTTTCGTGGAAGTTTCAAGCCACTTCCATGATACACTCTGCAGTATTATATGACATCACTATGATTCTCTGCCCACCTTTCAACTCTCCAGGCAGTCTTCAGCTCTCTAAATCAAAGGGAAGTAGTAGATATTTTAAGGAATGCTGTCTTCAAAGACTCAAAATAATAATTTGAAAAGCATCTCTTTACCTGACAGTCAGTGAATACTTTTAGATACTAAAGAGATTTTATTGCGAGAACAATCAAAGTGGGAGATGTTGCCACTTAGTTATTTTAAAAAAAGAAAATCTTGAGGATTACAGACATCCATATCAATGTGAAAACAGCTGCACAATATGACTTCAATAAAACTGCAATATTCTTGACTGTTTACATTTCATAAAATAAAAAATGTATCAAACATGGGGATATTATTTAGGCACAACAGTGCCTTAAAGGTAAACATTGATACAAAAATCTAGAAAGATTTTCAAATAAGACTGCTATTTTAAGTTAAAGTCGCTAGACTCTTAATAAATAGAAATCTTTTGATTAATTAAATATGTAAGTGTAATTAGGTTCACAAATCTTTGTTGTTGCCATTGTTGTTGTGCGCTATCCAGTCACCTCCAACTTATGGTGACTCTATGAATGAGTGACTTCCAAAATGTCCTCCCTCAACAGCTCTGCTCAGTTCTTGTAAACTCAAGGCAATCAAACACAAATCTTTACATTCTTTATTATTTCAGCGCAAGTATTTTGATAAACTGCAGGTGGTAGGTTTAATCTTAGAAGACGTATTCTTCCTATATTGCACAGTAAGGAAAGTCTCCTTAAGGATGTTGCCTATTGTGACATGTATATCTAAGCACAAAAGAAAAGTTCTTTCATATGCAGATTTAAATGATAAACTGATTAATCAACTATGCCTTCTTATTCTGGGTAACAGTCATAGTTCTAAGCTCTGACTTGTTTTTCGTATATTTTGATGTATTGATGTATTTATTCTTTTCTGACTAGTTTTATGTTATACGTTAATTTGTGTGTGTGTGTGTGCATGCCCCAATTTGCTCTATATTAGCAGATTTGTGCCTGTCTGTATTTTCCACCCCCCATAGTTGCTGGAGTATTTTTCTTTGGTAGGAGTTCCAGTGATTTTGTGGACATTGCTTCTTTATACAGTGGACCCTTGACTTACAGACGGCTTGACTTACAGACTTTTTGAGTTACAGACTTCTCTGGCCGCAAAATTTAGGTTTGACTTGCAGACTGAGATTTGACTTACAGACCAGAAAAAAACCAAAATGGAACAAAAACGGCCTGTTACGGGATTAATCGGTTTTCAATGCACTGTAGGTCAATGGAGACTTGACTTACAGACTTTTTGACTTGAGAACCGCCTTCCAATACGGATTAAGTTCTCAAGTCAAGCCCCCACTGTATCGTTGTTCCTATTTAGATATGCTGCAGTATTTTTCAAAGAATTTTGTTGCTGAGTGCCACTATTTCCAGCATTTCGCTTATCATTTCATGGCCTCCTACATTTTATCCTTTTGTGCTTAAGAGGTGTGGACTCTTGTTAAAAATGTTATTTTTATTTGCTGAAGGTATTCCTGAACAATAGTGAAGACTGAAATGCAAGTGGTTGGATTTTAAAACTTGCGTAAATTTGTCGTTCTCTCTTCAGCCCTGCAAACTGCTACCCCTCCCCCTTTCAAATATCTAGAAGCTCCAGCACAGATACAGTAGCTCCAGTGTGAGTGGAAGACCTATGGGTCTTCTACATCTCCCTTGGGAGTCTATCCATGAAGGAGGAATAAATGCTTGGCAACCTGTTGAGGGAGAGGCACTCCTTGGTGGGTTGGGGCCCCAAGCACAGCAACTTTTGGAGTCCTGTCCACATGGGGGGGAAAGCCAGAGTCAGTGACTGAGACTATTCCAATTACTTCAGTGTGTGGGAGTGCTATAAAAAGGAGGGAAGATCCCAGCCTGGGGAAAAGGAAGTGTAGGAAGAAGTGTGGAGTGACACATTGGACTAGGTCATCAATCCATGGCACCCCAGCATCCCCTCTTACTTTGTCCACATGTCATTTGCACACTTTTGTACCACCTGAGAGTCCAAACCCTAAAGGTACATCAAGGTCTGGGCCTCCCCAAAGAGGAATCTGCTGTTGGTTCTCCTGAGCCACCAACACTGATGGCCGACCAGCTATGATGTTGGTGGAGTCAGAGCCATGTCAATGGCTACACCAGTTTGAAAACATCCTCCAAGACCAGGAAACCCAGGAAAAGGGTCCTTCAGAGGTCATGTCTGGTCAGTGATATCCCTTAGACTGCACCAATCTAACAGACTACAGGGTGAAGGGAACCACCATGGTTAGACACAAGGGACTGTGGGAGGTAAGAGGTATCACCTGTATATAGTTAGGGAATTAAATTCAGTGATCAAGGAGCATCTGGTGGCCTGAAAATGTCCAGAGGGCCCTTCAATGTCATCCTGCCCACTGAAGGACTGAGGACCCACCCAACTAGTCTCTAATATAGACACTCAGGGGAAATTGTCCAGCAGAAATTGAGATTTTGAGAAGAGAATTTCAAAGCAAAGGGCTCTGAAGTATGAGGAGATCCTGTGAGTAAGCAGACAATTCGGCCTGTGAGTACAGACATGAATTTCCTCAAGGCCATAAGCACATTTGCTATTGCTCTCACCTTTCATTAAACTCCAAAGTAACTTTCCCTTCTACATTAAGGAGAAGAAACAAGTTTTTAATAACTAAGTTAGAATAGAAAAATCTGCCAATTAAAATGGTCAAAATGATACATTAACGAAGAAGTATATAATTAAAATGGAAATTTTATTTTTAATTTCTCATTTTTTCCTCAGCAGAAATTCAGACTGAGAGAAGAGAAGCCCAAAGCAAAGTGGTAATTTCAGAGCCAAGAGAACATGTATTCATAGACTGTGAATACAATATACAGGAACCCCCAAGTAAAGCATACAGCATGCTTGGAGGAGGGGGCAGAGTGCAGTCTTCCAAGTCTCTGTTACAAACCAGAGTGGGCAGGTGGGAGGGAGGGAGGAAGGAAATTAGAAATATGTTCACTGTCACTAATTGTCCTGAAAGAATATGATTCCCAGTGAAGGAAAAGGGGCTGTTTGTTCCATTAATGAACTGTAAGAATGAACTTCAAAATGAGGTTTACTGTATGTAATTCTGGAAAAATACTATAGAATGTATAAATTATCACATATACCTTTTCCTTGGAACTTTTTATGTGGTCCAAAAGTCTTAAAACTTTTCCTTCAAATTAAATTTAAAATAAAATCTTTCAGCTTCCATCAGACCCAACCAATGGAGGAATGGAAGAAATAGGAAGGTGAAACACTCAATTAGCTCTGTTAAGATAATGTTTTTTACTATTCCTGTTTCCATTCCAGTGTGATACTATAAGCACAACTTTATAACTGTAACTCTACGCTAGTCAACCTCTTTTCCTATTCTCTCCTCAAACCTAAGGCAATTTTCCTGGTAACATATAAACTTACCTGAGAACGTCTTTAACTTAAAAGCATGAAGAAAGTGCTTTAAACAAACTAAGCTGCCCTAACCTTCAATACTACATTATAAGTTTGCTGCACAGAATTCAGTCAGACAACAAATATGAGGGATAAATGACAGAACCATTTAGCTGTAAGAAGCACATTAGATATCTGTAGCACTAAGCAATCAATGTGTGTGTGTGTGTGTGAGAGAGAGAGAGAGAGAGAGAGAGAGAGAGAGAGAGAGAGAGAGAGAGAGAGAGAGAGAGAGAGAGAGAGAGAGAGAGAGAGAGAGAGAGAGAGAGAGAGAGAGAGAGAGAGAGAGAGAGAAATCATGTACAGAAATTGCCCATTCTTCTATTGAAAAGGAGACAGTCTCTTCTGTTTGTTCATGGTACTCAAGGCCTACTGACAAATACAATTGACAGATTTTATTACCCACAATTGTCTTTCAAATATGTCCTAAAATTTTAATACCTACAATACTGGCTCTTTTGCTTGCTTAGTAAATGATTATTCTCTCTGCCCAGTAGGTTCAAAACAACTGGAAGCACCAGTAACCAATTTGACTGTCAACTCACAATGCCACTAAAGAATAACAATGAGAAATGCATGAAGACAGTATTCTTGACAGAGTTCTTAGAGCAAGATGATCTAATTAGTAGTGTCAGAAGCAAGAAAAAGCAGGATGGACACAGTTCCAACTAAAACCAAAAGAGCCTTTTATTATTTAGTTGGTGGAAGGGGAAAAAGCCCGTAGGGTAGAGCAAGAATAGAGATGCATTATAGCTGACTGACTGGAGAAATATCTTAGCATCAGCTTTGCAGTGGTCTTCAGTGTAGACATCGCCACCTATCTTCTGGCTTTCATGAAGCAAGGCAACATTTCCTTGGCTATCAGTATAGAAACAGAGGTCAAGGTTGTGATCCCAGGCTCAGAAGGAAACAGTGATAAATGGGGACTTGAAAACTGATTGGAAAGTAGCTTAGACAACCAATTATCAATCAAATTTCCCTCCTTCCCCATCTATAGTCTAAGAATAACAGTGGCCTACCTTACAGAACTGGTGCTTTAAGAACACATATATGAAGTGCTTTTAAGTCTTCAAAGAACTATATACATGTCAATTTTATTCTGAAGTTCCAAGATTGAGGATGCAATGTTATACAATCCTATATGGGATTCAGTGTGATTCACTTTTGAATAGTCATGAACAGTAGGATACTATCAGAAATCTAGCAATTATATATTTACAGATCTTTTTTTCATTTCTAAACTCAATAAATTGATAGAATGAAAGACTGTTATGGGTAACTGCCTCCAAAGAATAGCAGTATTTTCAAATGTACTTTGTGGTGGAACAAATACAGTCCCCAAAATGCAACTGAACTTTCTTCTAAACATAATGGCAGCATATGTTTTAAGATTTCAGTAACTATTTATTTATTTATTTATTTATTTATTTATTTATTTATTTATTTATTTATTTATTTATTTTATTTTATTTTATTTTATTTA